TGTCCTTCCCACATGTCTCCCCTGGTCTTTCCTGGCTGCAGCCTCTGCCTGGTCACAATCCAGCCACAAAGGCTCAATCTGGCTGTCCACACACATCACACATGTGCTCCTCTTGTGCCGTGTGGAGCTGCATGTGGCGGGTCAGGTTTGACTTGAGAGAGAAGCTCTTGTCACACACACTGCACTGGTGTCCAGGCGCCTGATGTGGGAAAGCACAAACACTATCATGATCAACCTTACATTACAGACATGTGTCAAGTGACCAATGTACAGGATTATATCATTTCATTATTATCATTATTATTATTAGTCCAACCCGTTAATTAACATAATTATTTATTTAAGTTGGTCCATATGAGTGATTCACTGGTTTGCGTGGTTTGCATGCATGTGGTTATGTGTTGTTGCATTTACCTCCATGTCTCTGAGATGCAGATGATGAAAAGAAAAGTAGGTTCCTCAGTTGTTATGCAGATATCTCTGAAACAAAACAAACACACACTAGCTCAAATGCTTTCCTGGTATGTTCATCATATAGCAACATCAATACCCCTTGAATGCATTGCAGTATTACACCTTTATTTTTAAGTAAACATTTAATAGATTCTATAATAGATTAGGTTCCATCTGTAAATACCTCCTGCTGACTAGTGTATACACTAGTTAAATATCCTTGGAACTTTATTTTATTACTAAGAACTTATTATTATTTCCTTTTATTATCTATTATCTTAGATTGCACACCTTACCAGGATCTATTTGAGTGCTTAGCTCCTCCTTTCTTATATTCTGCTGTAAAGTGCAACGATGACAGTGAAATGGTCTTCTGTGAGACAAACAAAAGATTATCATATCTTCTGTACTGTATATTACAGTACACTGTCTGTTGCAGACTATTCTATACAGAAGCCTCACAGAATAATTCATTATTTATTCGTGCATCACTCAACACACATGTTGCACGGTTTCAACGGGATATTTATGGCGTTATTCATGTAAATATTTACGTTTTCACATCATTGCAAGCACATAGCGTTACCCGGAGCTAGCAGGAGGCTAATGCTAACGCTGTCTGTCAGGTTTGTACCGCTACAGATCTAGCGCAGAGACGGACTTAAAAACAATCCACAGACAATGTGCGGCCACAGACACAGAGGAAACAAGCGCCTTACCTGCTGCTTCTGAAGAAAACCCCCGAAGAGAGATTAAAATAGTCCAAAGAAGTGACGGAAAGTACCGGTATAGTTGTGACAACAGTGGAGTGGCGGCAGCCATCTTGTTTGCTTCAGATTGCTCAATGATTGGTCCGTTGAGCAGGAAACTCGCCTACAACCTATTGTTATTAGCCTAGGGACTGTTATTAGCCTAACTGTTATCGCCTGGGACTGTTACTAGCCTAACTGTTATTAGCCTAACTGTTGTTAGCCAAGCTGTTGCTAGCCTAACTGTTACTAGCCTAACTGTTACTAGCCTAACTGTTATTAGCCTAACTGTTATTAGCCTAAAACTGTTACTAGCCTAACTGTTATTAGCCTAACTGTTATTAGCCTAACTGTTATTAGCCTAACTGTTATTAGCCTAACTGTTATTAGCCAAGCTGTTGCTAGCCTAACTGTTACTAGCCTAACTTTTATTAGCCTAACTGTTATTAGGGGGTCGGCCCGATGTTCCCCGGGTGCCGATGTTCCCCCCCCCCCGGGTCCGGAGTTCCCCGGGGCGGGGAACACCGGACCCGGGGAACACCGGACCCGGGGAACATCGGACCTTCCAAACGCCGGAGGGCCCGGTGTTCCCCGACTGCGGGCCTCGCTCATAGACATGTTATTGGATAATAACATAATGGAGCAACAAGCGGCTTTCGCTCATAACTAGTCTATTTTGGTAGGCCTGCAGATTAGTAAGTAGAGCCAAATTCGCTTGCAAACAAACTACAAGGGCTAACTGGAATTGGGGTTTCAAAGAATATGGTTCAAACGCACGCACGCGCACAACACGCACTCACGCGCGCACATACACACAAGCTCATTTATGAAACTTGCGTTGAAAAAGGTGTACATTTTGGGTGTATATTCCATTTACGCAATTTGCCAAAATGTTTTGATACATTAGAAAAATCCTTATTGAATTGTAGAAGTGAATAAATCTAGATTGATTGAATGAATGAATTAATTCATATTTATTATGCAGCGGTGGCTCTCATGAATGAAGCGTCTGCAGCGTCTTGGACGCAGCCTGGCTCGGGGTAGAAGTGCGCATTGAGGCGCTGTACACTTCAGAGAGCGTTTGCCGGTCCAGATTTCACAAAGAAACTCTGGAGCCAAAACTTCTGCACATGTGGCGCGACCTCTCACGGCACTCGCTGCGCACTCTGGACAGGGCAGTGAGACGTTTGAGTGAGCAATACCATCGATGTGTTAATTGGGGTGTGTGTCTGTGTGAGGCTTACACAAATCTAATGAAATAACACATTGCTTTACCAGATGTGAATGAGGAATACAAATAGCCGTGCGTAATTACGCAGCGCAGAGCCTGCCACAGCAATAGATGGGTCACACATCCTGTTGCGTAAAGTGTATTTATATAGAGCCTTTCACTGTCCAGGATCACAAAGCGCTTCACATTTTAAAAACATACAGATCAAAATAATACACACACAAGTCAGATTTAATAGCAGGGTCCTCATGAGCTGTGATTTATTCGAAGTTTGCGTGTTTCCATTAGACTTTTTCTGATGCGCAAATTCAAATTTTGAAACATGATCCTCAATGAAAACACAGCATATAATTTTGCCAGAGGGAATATGTTTATTGTTGTACATATCTTGAATTTCATGCGTGTTGTGCCGAAGGTTGAGTTCAGCGTATAGATTTACACCACCTCCAGACCTGGCGTTTATTTTTTGCCGTATTGTACGCTCACGTCCAGATTGATAAATGCAGAAAAAGTGTAATATTTTTGCGTACCCTCATTTACCCTGATTTGGCCGTACGCAGGTTTCATACATGAGGCCCACAGTGAGGCCCAAAGTGAGGCCCACAGTGAGGCCTACAGTGAGGCCCCACAGTGTGTCTCACACAGGCCTAGAGTTTACCTCATCAGTGCAAGGCGAGCCAGGCCTGACCGCGCTCTCCTCCTCTGGGACCTACGGGCCCGGGCCTCTGGCTCCTCAACCTCACAAAGTTCACGCTGAACTTTCTTAAAATTAAAATGAAAAAGGCTGCTCTGTTGTGAATGCTTTGAGAGCGTTGTCAATCTTTAAGACGAGGAATAGCTGGTTGTTCTCGCTTCACGCTGTGTGATATGATATTGGACAAAATTGTTCAGCCAATAAACAGGACTATATTTGAAGCAACGTAGGAACGTGATGACGCTCAGGGGGTTATATTATTATTATAATTATTATTATTATTCCCCCCCTGTAGGAGCCAATACACTTTTTCAATATTTTTGAATTCTGAGCGTTTCCAATTGTATTTAAAAATGGGAAACCTAATTAAACAATCATGATTGAGCTTTTCCGATCTTATTTTACACTGATTCCTTTGATCATTTTTTTCTTAAAGTTCAAGTTGTAAAAATGCTATGTTTGAATTGGTTATTTACATTTTAACTGTGAGTGACACGTAAGGCGGGACAACAATGCACAATGACGCACGCATTCTGAATAGAATAATATGTATTAATATCTCTAGAACTAAAAGAGCATATTCAAGTTTTACAACAAAAACGACGTCATATGCGTGTCCATTATGCGTAAAAGCACAGTGCCCTCAGCAAAACCACGTATTTGGAAAAACTATAGGCTAACAGATGTAGTAGCTCTAGTTTCAATCGTCCTCATTTTATTCAGTCAGACTTGTCAAATATAGATGCCCATGGGAGAGTGAGCAAGGGGAGATAACATGCCCATAACATGCCCAAAAATATCCTGCATAGACTCAAGCTGCGATCAGCTGAAATATGAGCACACAAAGAGCGAGAGGGAAAAAGAAAAGTAAATAGGCTTAGGCTAGTTAGTATTTTTTCTCTCACAAAAGTTGGCGCGGATCATATGCCATCTTTCGTGGAGGAGAAAACATCAAACATCAAAGGGCGCACGCGGGGAACAGCGGGACTAGTCTCGTTGTTGAAGTCCCGATGTTCCCCCACTTCTGTTGGCGGGGGAACATCGGACCCGGGGAACATCGGGACTTTTTAATACGCGAAGTACCGATGTTCCCCGGGTCCGATGTTCCCCCGCCTATAGAAGTGGGGGAACATCGGACCCGGGGAACATCGGACCGGGGAACATCGGTACGCACCCCGTTATTAGCCTAATTGTTACTAGCCTAGCTGTTATTAGTCTAACTGTTACCAGCCTATTACTCGTAAAGCCACGGGGAAACCTTCAGGAACCATTTTATTTTCTGTCATTAAATAAACCTTTCGGCACACTAAGAGTGGACTGAAGTTTATTTTGTCTGTTCTGTTGATACAAAGCCGTATAATAAGCGGGATAATGTAAAGTACGCAGGTCATTATCGAATAATAAGAAGCAGACCCCTCCACTGTGCGTCGGGGTCCGCTTCGCCCATATATTATCCCATACATTATCTCTTACATACAGTCCCATCTATACAGTCTATGTTAGCAATTGTGCATCTTTACACATATAGTTCTGCCTCTAAAAACTGCTGATAGAAAAGTGAAAAACAGAACTACCTTCACTCTCTCACTTTCTTTCTTACTCAAAATAGTTTTATGATGTCGTGTTCTGATTTGTTCATAACATGTTACTCTTTCTGCTGGACCAACTACATATGTCATCTATGAAACAGAAAGTTAGGTTCCCCAGCTTTAATGACAGGCGACAGGATATATAGTGATGTCAGAGAGTGGCAGTTTTACAGATTGTGACCTTTGCCTCGAGTCCCGTGAGCAGCAGCTGAGCGCACTCTCCTCGGCTCTTCACTTTACAATTTGACTCAAAATAATCGGATTCAATTTCTTCACTTTTTAAAATGGACTCGACTCCGGCTCCTGCCTCCACGACCTCCGCAGGTGAGACTCAAACCGGTTATAAGCGGGATCTATGAGTGTAGGAAGTGTGACTTTGAGATCTGATAATTCAATTTAAAAACAATGTGAACAATTTGCGTGAATATTTACAGATAATCCATTACTTTTTGGTAAATTTCGTTTTTAAAATTACAAAAATCGTGCAGTATTTTTGTCTATTAAAAATGACAATGGAAGAGTTTCCTTTGTTGGTTCGGTTTTTACAAAGTGAAAGAATCTAGAAGTAAGGGTAAAAAAAAATGCTTTCGGCCTGTAACTCCTGATGCTGCCACCAGGGGGAGCTGCACACACAGACTTGTGGTTGAAAATCATCCTAGTCATCCTCATTATAATTGTATTTGACAAAAACATGGATAATATTTATTCTTTAAAGGTATGGAAACTTGAACAGTTGAAGCATTCCAAAAAGCTAATGCCCAAAGAGTCATAAAGTGACTCATATGTGGTTTTACTGCCCGTTTGCTTTGGGGGGAGTTCCCGTGGCCAATCATCACTGGTCTGTTTTGTTCTCATCAGCCCCTGGTCCTGGCTCCCGTTTCCAGGGAGACGGTGTCCGCTACAAGGCCAAGCTGATCGGCATTGATCATGTGACCAGCGGCGACGCCGGAAAGTCCTGCGTTGACTCCATGATGAAACTCAAGGTGAAGGAACGGGACACGATGCAAACATGGACTTTTCTCAACCTCTGTCCATGTTCTACAACTACTGTCATTTACACACATCCCAGGACTGAGGCTGTAGACCCAGGACTGAGGCTGTAGATCCAGGACTGAGGCTGTAGACCCAGGACTGAGGCTGTAGATCTAGGACCGACCCCAGGACTGAGGCTCCAGTTCCGGGACTGAGGCTGTAGATCCGGGACTTGCTCTCGTCTTAAACATTACTATGAACCTTTGGTGATGGTTTTAGGGTTTCGAGGCGGCCTTTCGTAAACAGGGCCGACACAAGCAGCGCGTGTGGCTGAAAATCTTCTCCGGAGGACTCAGGATCCTGGACGAGAAGACGGCGGTGAGAACACATTTATGCATTAATCATTGAAAGTTAAGGTACCTAACTTTACACACAGATAATACAAGTTCTTTGTCCCAACAGAGACTATTTGCTTGTTAACAACATGGAGTATTCGAAGTGTAAAATATGTTGTATTTTTTGTGTAAGAAAGAGCCCTCTCCAAATTGTTTTTACCTGGTTTCTGAGTCGCTCACTGGTCTCTGTCTAGTCACTCCCTCTATCTCTGTGTGGTTTTTTTTTGTTTCTCTCTGGTCTCTCTCTGTGGTCTCTCTCTCTGGTCTCTCTAAGTGGTCTCTCTCTCTGGTCTCTCTTTCTAAGTGGTCGGTCTCTCTGGTCTCTCTCTCTCTGGTCTCTCTCTGGTCTCTCTCTGGTCTCTCTCTGGTCTCTCTCTGGTCTCTCTCTGGTCTCTCTCTGGTCTCTCTCTCTGGTCTCTCTCTCTGGTCTCTCTCTCTGGTCTCTCTGTCTGGTCTCTCTCTGGTCTCTCTATGTGGTCTATCTCTGGTCTCTCTCTGATCTTATTTCAGTCTTTTTCCCAGGTCTGGAGCTCAGTGGTCTTGTGGTTCTAAGTGCTCCGGTGGGACTGGAGTCTGGACCACGGCCCGTCTGACTGGACCCTATCTGAACTCCTTTACTGAGAACTTACTGAGAAAGTTCACTGAAAGAGAAATGCACATACATCATCGTGTGTCACAAACCTCCCTTCCGGATTTACCCCCGGTCCCTGGGAAGGCCACCCACGATAACAAATACTTAATTTTCGGTTGAATTATCCTTTTTTTTAGTCTTGCAAAAAATACTTACTCTTATTTAGCCTTGTGTAAAGTTTGTACAGCAGCTTTTTGAAATGTTTTAGTTAAAAAAACAAAACAAATTTGCATTATTTTTGGTATTTAAAAAAGACTATTTACAACGTGAAATACTGTCTGCAGTAGAAAATATACGGTGAAATAAGATTGAAGGGTAGAAATTGCTTTCCCCTGTAGCTCTCTATGCTACCACCAGAGGGAGCATCTCTCTCGTCTAGATGTAGTAAGTAAGTAGTAAGTAAGCTTTATTTATATACCGCCTTTCACAGATCAGAGTCTCAAAGCGGTTTACAATTGTTATTTTTTGGGCACTTGTCTCCCACTCCACAGAGATGGGAGCGGGGTCGCCGAACAGGAGGCGCATGCCAGACCTATTGTACATATTTTTAGTGGTAGGGGAAACCGGAGTACCCGGAGGAAACCTATGCAGACACGGGGAGAACATGCAAACTCCACTCAGAAAGGCCCTGGTCCGGCCGGGATTCAAACCCAGGACCTTCTTGCTGAGAGGCGAGAGTGCTATCCACACTTTTTTCTGGCCAGCTCAGTCCTTTCACCAAAACATATTTGAATTGTTGAGCCTCATTTATTCATTTTCAGAAAGACTAAATTACAATTATACTAGAACAAAAAATGTTATTTGGTTTCAGGCTGAGATGTACGTCCACGAGCAGCACGACATCAGTGCATTGACCCGCGACGACTCGGACCCCAGAGCGCTGGCCTACGTCCACAAACACACAGACAACTTCTACCTGTTCTACCTGCGCATGGCTAACCTGGTGCGGAATTTATTCATATAGCACATTTCAGAAACAACTGCAGCCCAAGGAAATAACCACAATAACATTTAACAGTTTTAAGGTCTTTAAGGGTTTTATATTTAGGTAAAAGTGGTTTTTATCGTTAATCCAGAACTTTGAACACAGGTGTAATGTGAGGTCTGAAACACAGGTGTAATGTGAGGTCTGTAACACAGGTGTAATGTGAGGTCTGAAACACAGGTGTAATGTGAGGTCTGAAACACAGGTGTAATGTGAGGTCTGAAACACAGGTGTATTGTGAGGTCTGTAACACAGGTGTAATGTGAGGTCTGTAACACAGGTGTAATGTGAGGTCTGTAACACAGGTGTAATGTGAGGTCTGTAACACAGGTGTAATGTGAGGTCTGTAACACAGGTGTAATGTGAGGTCTGTAACACAGGTGTAATGTGAGGTCTGAAACACAGGTGTAATGTGAGGTCTGAAACACAGGTGTAATGTGATGTCTGTAACACAGGTGTAATGTGAGGTCTGTAACACAGGTGTAATGCGAGGTCAGTAACACAGGTGTAATGTGAGGACTGAAACACAGGTGTATTGTGAGGTCTGAAACACAGGTGTAATGTGAGGTCTGAGACACAGGTGTAATGTGAGGTCTGTGACACAGGTGTAATGTGAGGTCTGTAACACAGGTGTATTGTGAGGTCTGTAACACAGGTGTAATGTGAGGTCTGAAACACAGGTGTAATGTGAGGTCTGAAACACAGGTGTAATGTGAGGTCTGTAACACAGGTGTAATGTGAGGTCTGTAACACAGGTGTAATGTGAGGTCTGAAACACAGGTGTAATGTGAGGTCTGAAACACAGGTGTAATGTGAGGTCTGTGACACAGGTGTAATGTGAGGTCTGTGACACAGGTGTAATGTGAGGTCTGAAACACAGGTGTAATGTGAGGCCTTTGGGATGATTTAAGGAACATCTGTGTTTTCAGGCTGAACCGGTTCTGAACGACATCAGGGAGGTGTGCAGAGACCAGCAGCAGAACCAGGGTTCAGTCCCGGACCCCCCCACTGAGGCCCCGCAGGTCTCTCTCACACTCTACACACACAGAGACTCTCCAAACACACTTTAAAATATAAATTGGGCCCAGAGAAGACTCTGGTGATAAAACCCTATTCGAGACCAATTGTCGCGTTTCCACCGCAGGAGTTCCTGGTGAACTCCTGTGGTGGGACATCTACAGGAACTGCTCTGGTTGTTGTTGTCTTTGAGGTTTTTATAGTTCTGCTTCAGGTTTTTTTACTTTTCACTGCAATTGTTTTGGAGTGTAATGAATCTCCATTGCTTTGACGTGAAGCTGATATGTCTTAATAAGTCTTTTCATATTGGTGCGATGCCTCAAACCCCGTTGGAATCAATGGTGTCTGCTAGGCTAATGCTGCTGGGCTAATGCTGCTGGGCTAATGCTGCTGGGCTAATGCTGCTGGGCTAATGCTGCTGGGCTAATGCTGCTGAATTTTTAAAATGCCGGTTGTTTTGGTGCTTTCTGCTGGCATCAGAGCCTGCGCTAGCTTTAGCCAATCAGTTCACGGCCCAGCGAAGTACCTAGCATGGAGGAGGGACTCCGTTGGGCCCCGTAAATGTTCCTGTGAATGGCCCTGTGGGGAAAGTTCCTGCAGTGTAGACACGCACAGACGGGGCTGGCCCTGGAAAATTACCCCGAAGTTCCTGCGGTGGAAACGTGTCTTAAGAGCTTTTTGGTTTCACTTGTGGCACTGAAATAGAAAATGCTGAGTGGACAGTTTTAGACCATATTACTCATACCTAAGTAAACTTTTCAGGGGAATACCGGAAGCACGTAGGGCAGGGAAACCGGTTCCAGAAAGACCCAGTGCGGTTGCTGGTTTTAGTAGATGTAGGTGGGGCTAAAGTACGGCCGCCCCATAGACTCAGAATGTGACTGAAATGGGCTCGTTTGTGACGTGTTTGTTTTTCGGTGTGTTTTAGGTTTGGAATAACTGTTGACTATTTAAAAATCTGTCCGTGTGACACTTAACACTCACCTTGTCTTTCAGATCTCTGCCTTGTTGGTCGTGGACGAGGCCTCCACACGAACACATGAGGTGAGTGCAGTTAGTCCACGGACGATCTTCTCATCTTTCATTTTCAATTTAATATTCTGTTCTTTCAGGAGCCAGCTCTGGAGAACGTCTTCAGCCCTCGACCTGATGGAAAACCGGTACATCAAAAACATCTAAATCAGTTCTGTCACACACAGAGCTATGTTAGTGTCCTTTAAAGCTAAGGTCTGTAACTTTAGTCTCATAAATAACACATGTTTAAAGCTATATCATCTGTGTCCCTGGGAGTCACGATCTGCCTTTTTGGGTGGTCCTCTCTTTGACTGTTTTAGCCAGAACTAGAGACATGTCTTTAACGTTACAGACCCCAGCTTTAAAGTTATGTAACCCAGCTTTAAAGTTACAAACCTCAGCTTTGAAGTTACCGACCCCAGCTTTAAAGTTATGTAACCCAGCTTTAAAGTTACAAACCTCAGCTTTGAAGTTACCAACCCCAGCTTTAAAGTTACAGAACCCAGCTTTAAAGTTACAAACCTCAGCTTCAAATGTACAGAACCCAGCTTTAAAGTTACAGAGCCCAGCTTTAAAGTTACAGAACCCAGCTTTAAAATTACATACCTCATCTTTAAATTTACAGAACCCAGCTTTAAAAGTTACAGAGCCCAGCTTTAAAGTTACAGAACCCAGCTTTAAAATTACATACCGCAGCTTTAAAGTTACAGACCCCAGCTTTAAAGTTACAAACCCCAGCTTTAAAGTTACAGACCCCAGCTTTAAAGTTAGACCCCAGCTTTAAAGTTACAAACCCCAGCTTTAAAGTTACAGACCCCAGCTTTAAAGTTCTTTGATCAGATCCACATTTCCTGCTTCACTCGTTGAAATGTGATAAATGTATTAAAATAAAAAACCTCACAGTAAAAATCAGCTGTGGTCCATGTGTGCAGATTAGTTTCCTCTGGTCCTTCACGCAGATGTTTTTAGGCTGATTCATGAGTGTTTGAGGATGACTTTAAAGCCGACAGAACCTGTGTGCTCTTCTCCGTAGGCCTCCTCTGAGTTGATGGAAGTCTTCGCGGTTCCTCTCGGAGATCCCATCGAGCCGAGTGTGTGTCCCTCCGCTGTGGCCCTCTCTGAACCAGGTTGGCTTTGTTTAGTCATGGACAAAAAACAAACATGAACGTTCCGTCTCAAACCTTTTGTGTATAATTCTTTCCTTTATTCATATCTCTTCTGAATGTACTGGCCATTTATACTGTATCATGGTTTGAGGTGTGTGAAATTGTGTGTTTTTTTACACTGCTGTGATCAGTTCTGAGGATTCTCTCTTTTTCTGATCTCTCGTATCTAGTCTACCTCTGGTCTCTCCTAGTCTTTCTATCTAGGCTCTCCCTTTTATTTCTCTGGTGTCTCTCTCTGGTGTCTCTCTCTGGTGTCTCTCTCTGGTCTCTCTCTCTGGTCTCTCTCTGGTCTCTCTCTGGTCTCTCTCTGGTCTCTCTCTGGTCTCTCTCTTCAGCAGTCATGAGTTCAGGTGTTTAGAAAAGTGTATAACGTGTTTTGAAGGTTTTACAGCCTTGAAACATACATATTCTACTAGTCTTTCACTTATTGCGGGTTACTTTTAGAACATGTGACCCCTGCGACAAACCAGGGACCAGTTTATTGTCGCACAAACACATCCGGTCTCACCTGAGTCTGTGTTCCTCAGATCCGGAGCCGCCCAGACCCGCCCTGTCCAACTCTCAGATTCTGTCCATGTTCACTCCACCCGCCCTGTACCCGCCCCCGGCTGGGCTCCGCCGGGCATGGTGGCTCCTCAGTGGGCGGGTCCTGTGGCTCCGTGGCCCAATCAGACGGCAGCCTGGCCCTCAGCTCCGCCCACTCCTGTGACGAGCGCTGCGACCGTGAGCGCCTCAGCTGCTGCAGAGGCACAGCGCCCCCTGCTGATGTGAGGGACAGATGGAAGATATTTTACATACACTGTAAAAATAGTAGTGACCAGATGGAACTAGTAAATGAGTGGAATAAAAGTCTAAAATATATGTATTCTCTCATTCTTATATTTATTCTTCAGTGCAAAACCTGCAAATCATTTCTTGAATGAGTCACGTACAGCAACAAAACCACCCCCCACAGAGTTTCCTGGTTTATGGTCTGGCTCTGAAACCTGCTCAGTCAGAATGAAACGTGTGAGTCTGGTTTGAAATGAATCAGCTTGATTCAAAGGAGTTTTTTTCCATAACTATATACAGATGGACAATGCTGATCTGCTCGCTCAATAAAGTCCAATGGGGAAGTGCTCATGGGCAAAGTTTAGCTCCTATTTGCTCTGGCTCCTATTGACTTACATTGAAAAGTAAACTTCTTAATGGGTTAAGGTTTCTCTGATTCAGACAAGAGCCTTCAATCACGGAGGAAAGTGCACAAATTAATCATGGCAGTAACGTTGCTCTGAATCTGACATCTCTCTGTCAGGAAATAATGTTGCTTAAAATTTATAAATAAAGATTGGAAAACATGTGAGTAAGTAAGCATTATTTTTGTCTATTCAAAAATAATAGTGAGACTGGTAAAAAGTATATTTGCCTGTAATACACAATACTGGCACCAGGGGGAGCTGCAAACACAGACAAGTGATGGAAAAGGAGTCATTTTCACTCTTAAACTACAGAGACTAATTTAAGAGCAATACTTTTGTTTTGACCCTTGTGCTTAATAGAATACAAATATGCAAATTAGGGCAACAGCAGCTCAGTTGGTGGAGCATTGGCCTTTGAGCCTGAAGGTCGTGGGTTCGAGCCCACCACAATACCTACTTCACAACTCCCACTGATGACTGCTGTCGTTGTGTCCTTGGGCAAGACACTTAACCCCACTTTGCCTGAAGCCCCTGCTGAAAGATCTCAGCTCGTGTGAGTTGTCGGAGTCGTCGTGTCGTGGCAAGACACTTCCACAAAGAGCTGAAAGTAAGTAATATTTAATTATATAACGCCTTTCACAGACCAGAATCAAAGAGCACTTTACTGTTGTTATGGGCTGTTTGTAAATGAAAAAGTCAGATCCAGGATCCTGTCGATATTACACTGAGGAGCAACTTATTGAAATAGAAAATACATTTCCCATGATTCATTTCAACTGCAGAAGATTGTCAAAGAAGTTTTCTAAAATCAAATCTTTCCTGCATTCAGTTAAAGATAGATTTAAGTTAATGGCTTTATCTGAGACATGGATCAATAAAGGAGAAGAGGAGGGTGTAAAAATGAATATGTCTCCAGTAGAACACATAGGACTGAAGGGGGAGGGGCCTCTATAGATGAACCCAAATGTAGACTCGTGAAATGCATGACAACTACAGTAGAGGATTTAATGGAAAGTGTTGCTATTGTAAAAGAATTGGATTTGTTTTAAAATATGACTGTTGTTTGTACAGAAATCCAGGATCAAGAGTGGAAACCTTTTTGGAGGAGTTAGAGTGAATGATAAATGGATGAAATAACAAAAACACTTGTGGAGATTATAACATTGAGCTCTGAACGGTAGAGACACATACAATTCTGACTTTTTAGAAATATTATAAGTAAGTAAGTAATATTTATTTATGTAGCGCCTGAGTCACAAAGCTGTTTACAATTGTGGGCATTTGTCTCACTCCACACAGAGATGGGAGCAGGGCCATGTTTTTAGTGGTAGGGGAAACCGGAGCACCAGGAGGAAAGTTATGCAGACACAGGGAGAACATGCAAACTCCACTCAGAAAGGCCCCTTTTCCAACCGGGATTCGAACCTAGGACCTTGCTGAGAAGCGAGAGTGCTATCTACTCAGCCTGATAAAGGGCTGTAGCTCATTTCAAAGCCTTGTAGAATCAACACAACCAGGATGGATTTAGGTCCAATAGGTCGACAAGTTTAGCCCTAATGACAATTGTAGAACAGCAATAGACAAAAAGAAATACACAATTGTAGTTTTCAATGATTTAAAGAAGGCACATTAGATAAATAGTAACGAATAAGGTCTTTAAAAGTAAGTTTCCATGTAATACTCTAAGAAAGTTTTATTGCTCAATGACACTTCCTTTTTTAAATGACTAGAAATGTGTGGAAATACTCACAGCATTCACATAAATCCTTTAGTTCTATCACAGAAAAGATATGATAGAGTTGTTCATAAAGCTGGATTCAGAGATATCACTAATCCTCCCTTCATTAGATTAAACTGTTTAGGTTTAAGAATATAATGGTTACAAACTTTATTGATCCGGTTTAAAGCCACAGACATAAGAGAAGAGTTACATTTTTTTGTGTTTACTTCTGAAAACCTACTTCACGACTCTCACTGATGACTGCTGTCGTTGTGTCCTTGGGCAAGACACTTAACCCCACTTTGCCTGAAGCCCCCGCTTGAAGATGTGGACTGGGTGGCAATGGGATGTAACTTCCAAATCACAACAATAAAACAGTTAAACTATCACTAATATTCACATGCATGTCATTTTGGCTTTTTCAGACAGAAAGGCACCAATCAACTCTGAGCCCAAAGAGTCAAATAGTGACTCACAGGGCAAAGATAAACACAGCATGTCTTATTTTACATGTTACTCTTTCTGTTAGAAAATACAAGTGTTAATCATATACCAAAGTTAGTCTTAACAGATGAGTTTTGGTCCATGTCTTTGCACTTCCTGCTGTGACACACACACACATGCGTACACACACGAACACACACACAAACACACACACGCACACACACGCACACCTCTGCGACTCGAGCCTGGGACACGGCTTCCACACGGCCGTCATGGTAAGGAGCAGTTATATATATTTTGGTTTTGTTTGTGAGGCTTTTTAAACACGTGCTATTCTAGTTTTATCTCTTGTGAAACGTTGTGGTGAAGAAAGAGTTATATTTATCTGAGTTCTGGTTAAACAGTCAGAGTTTGTGTCAGTGTGTAGAGGTGTAAGTTTAGGCATGTTTCCAGAATATATAGATCAGAACATCTGAGCAATTGTGTCATTTTTTTTGGAGATTATGAGCAAAATAACATTGTCAAATAAATGTGTTTCTATTTTCAAATGATAACGTTGCTGTGGAGCCTGCAGGGAGAACCCAGACTGTACAGGAACTGGAGGGTTTTTGTCAACCAGAAGCTTTACCATCGGAGAGGATATCAGAGAGAGTGTGAGACCAGAGAGCAGAGAGAGACCAGAGAGAGACCAGAGAGGGAGCAGAGAGGGAGCAGAGGGACCAGAGAGGGACCAGAAAGGGACCAGAGAGAGACCAGAGAGGGAGCAGAGAGGGAGCAGAGGGACCAGAGAGGGACCAGAGAGGGATCAGAGGGACCAGTGAGTGATCAGAGAGGAAGCAGAGAGGGTGAGAGAGAGACCAGAGAAAGACCAGAGAGAGACCAGAGAGAGACTAGAGAGACCAGAGAGAGACCAGAGAGAGACCAGAGAGAGACTAGAGAGACCAGAGAGAGACCAGAGAGAGACTAGAGAGACCAGAGAGAGAGCAGAAAGAGACCAGAGAGGGTGAAGAGAGCGACCAGAGAAAGACCAGAGAGAGACTAGAGGGAGCAGAGAGACCAGAGAGAGACCAGAGAGAGACCAGAAACTAGAGACACACCAAGAGGGCCTGGAGTCCAGGGGAAACTGTTAAACCTTGATGGCTTTTTTATGGATTATGTCAATTAGAAACACATGAGTGTAATTCACAGCTGTTGTTCCTTCAGGAGAAAGTCCACAGCGAAGGGGAAGTGTGCGTGATGAATGCAGCCTTGTGCTTTTATCACCGCTCAGTTAATGTTTGACTGGACGAATTTGTTCTTGTCTGGAAAATATTATATTACACCAAAATATGCAAATCCGGAGTGTCACACAACAAGCTTCTGTCTAAACGCTGTAATGAAGAGCCCCAGAGCACACAGTCTGAAGGCCTCGCTATCTCCCCTCTGATTGCACTGTGGGTACACTCGCTCCATCTGATTGGCCACTGTCAGAGCAACGCAGCGTGCGATTGGTGGAGGCAGAGAAGCGGGCTGTCTCCGTGGTAACGCTGAAGGAGTGTGGTCAGGTGTTTCCTGTGATAGACGCGTTGGAGACGAAACATGAACTTTGTGTCACAACATTCGTATACTGCAATGGCTCAGTGCTGGGCAAGAGAAATGTGCTGTGTCTGTAGAGACTGAATAAAGGGAGACAGGGAAGTGCTCATGGATGAAGTTTTGCTCCAACTTGCTGTGATTCCTATTGACTTACGTTGAAAAGTAAACTCCTCTCGCTCAGTCACTGTTCCATGTCACAATCACCATTTTGGGCTGAAAGATTGCGTGGTTTAGCGTTCTCTGTGATGCCGTTTATATTTCAAATGGCTTTATTTTTGTGAGAAACTCCATCTTGGGTTAGCAACCGTCTTGCAAAATTTGAAGCAAAATTGGCTTCAACTTGCCTGTGTTCAAAACGGTTTCTTCCACATTAAGGCTTAAGGCTGAGCGTGGTGTGTTACTGTGTGTGTACAGTGTGTGGTGTTTGCGTGCATTTGTGTCTCTATGGTGTGTGTGTAGGATGTGTGTCTCTATGGTGTGTGAGCAGGTGGTATCCGTGTGTGTGTGATGTCTCAGGAGGAAGCGTTGGTTCAGAAGTGTCTTTGCTGCAGACTTCCTGCTCCAGACTCAGGTACAGAACTCACCATCGTCTGCTCTGAGCAACAATAGTTTAGCACAAACTTTAGACTTTCTTCAGACGAACGCTGACCTCGCAAACATGTGCGTATCTTTGCTCTGTTGTTATTTATATTGTAATTCTAGCAAAAGTCCTTTTTCTAAACAACACCAGGTTGACAAAGCTGTTGGTCTAAGATTTACAGAAGCCAAGATCTGGCTGGAGAGAACTGCTGCTGTACCGGGCAAGATCTGGGTCTGCTCTGGTAGAAAATCAGGACCAGGTCTGGGTCTATTCTACGTCAAGACCATCTCCATATGTTTAATACAAAAAAAAATATTAATACTAATCTATTGGTCTGTGTCTGAACAGCGCAGGTTTTAAATTGATTTGCGTTCCTTTTACCATGGCGGTGAGGGGCAGGGGGGACCCATTGGGAACAGGGGACCATTTGGGGGGCAGGCCCATGTGCAGCGGCTCCGTGTTTCCTGGCTGGTTTGACTTCATGGTAGTGTTAAAAGGGCTTTAAGGCCTCTTTAAAGCTCCGCCTGCGGCCTCGTTTTGCTCTGGTTTCCGGCTTGGAGGAAAAAATGTGTTGTTAAATAAAGGAATTTTCTACCACATCGGGACAAACCATGTTATTTTCTCCTTTTTCAGGGTTCGAAAGGGTGGATATAAAAAAAATAACAAAAAAAAAACAAAAAAAAAACAATGTCCGGTTCAGAAAGGGGGACAAAAAAAAGCAAAGAGTTTTCATTAGGGATTCCTGTTTTAATTTCACCCACTTGTCTGCAATCTAAGTCGCTCTACAATTTTCGCGTAATGTCCCAATCAGAGGGGGGGGGGGGAACGTGTTCAGGGGGAAGGGAAGGGTTTGGGACGCTTGAAATTGGTTTATAAGCACAGGTTTTCGGGTTTTTCTTTGATTTGGGACTTGCCCACTGATGACGGCAAAAGAGGGCAGATTTCCCTTGGCCTTGGCCCAAAACACATTGGGGATGCTGAAATTTAATGGAATTGATTAAAACTCTTAAAATAAAAACACCACACCCAGGGGCTTCCCTAAATGTCGGATGAGTGCAGGAGGGACCACAGGGAAATTTTGTTTTAATACATGTTTTGAGCCAGGGGGGGGGACTGAAGGGACCTGTAGGGAACCCCACACGGGGGGGACTGGGGAGGGGGGGGGGGGGGGACTGTAGGGGGGAGCCCAGGGACTGAGGCTTGTTAGGGGGGGGGGGACCAGGGGACCTGGAAGGGGGGGAACTGTTAGGACCCAGGACTGGAGGCTGGGTTAGGGACCCAGGGGACTGAGGGGGGGACTGTTAGGGGGGGGGACCAGGAACTGAGGGGGACTGTAGGGGGACCAGGACTGGGGATGGGGGGGGGTACTATGTAAGGACCCAGGACTGAGGGGGGGGGATGTGGGACCCAGGGGACTTGGAGGGGGGACTGTTCGGGAAAACCCCAGGGGACTGAGGGGGCTGGAGGACCCAGGGACTGAGGGGTGTAGGAACCCGGGACGGGGAGGGGGGGACTGTAAGGGGACCCAGGGACGGAGGACTGTAAAGGACCCCAGGGAACGGAGACTGTAGGGGGGGGGACCCAGGGGAACGGGGAAGATGGAGGGGGGGGGGGACCCAGGGGACTGAGACTGTAGATCAGGGACCTGGGAGGGACTGGTAGGGGGGGGAACCCCAAGGGGGACTGAGGAAACTGTAGACCCAGGGGGACTGGAGGGGGGGACTGTAGATCCAGGGACTGGAAGGGGGGGGGGGACTGTTAGATTCAGGGGGACTGGAAGGGGACTTGTAGACCTCCAGGGAACTGAGGGGGGGGACTGTAGGGGAACCCCAAGGGGACGGAGACTGTAGGACCCAGGGACTGGAGGGGGGGGGGGGGGGGGGGACTGTAGGGGGACCCAGGGGACTTGAGGGGCTGTCGGGGGACTGGGTGTGGAGCGCAAACCCACTTTGTGCCTTGAAAAAAAAACACTCAGTTAAGACCAAAGGATGATGATCCCCCCAAAAAATTTTTTTGACTTTTCCAGGAGAAAAAAAAAATAAAAACAACTTTCCCACCAACGCTTGCTGAAAACATTCCAGGGGGAGGACATTGAGGCTGGTGGGGGACAAGCTTTCAAGTTACCTGGGTGTTCACCCCAATTTAAACCAATAAAAAATCTGGGACTGGGTCCATTAATTACCCAAAAAAAAACGCCCTTGCACAAAGAAAGGGCCCAAAAAAAAAGTCGCCCCTTCTTCCTTCTGAAAAAGGAAGGCTTGAGGTCCTTCTGAGGAGGCTGGGGAGGTTCCTTTCGGAGTGAGCAGGGGGCTCTTGCTTTCAGGGAAACCAGTATGCTACTTCCTTAGTGACTCTGTTGGTTAAGCTTCTGTCATTTTACTACGCTTGCTGTGTGCTGGGCCCGGGCCAAAAAGGGCCCACAGAGCGGGGACAGAAAAAAACCAAGACTTGAAAAAGGCTGGGTTCAAGGGAGGGGGCCCAAAAGGGCCCCCCACTTCTGGCTTGGCTCCCTGGGGGGACTCTGTGGGAGGAGGTGGGGAGGGGGGACATGGAGGGCCCCTGGACCTCTTGTGGAGGGAGGTGAGGGATACCCAGGGGGAGGCCCCCTGGGGGGAAACCTTTCTGTGGGAGGAGGGTGAGGGGACCAGGGAGGCCCCCCTTGGGGGGAACCTCATGGAAAAAAAAAAAAACAAAAAAACACCTCCCACTTGCACAGGGGACTGAGGGAGGAGCTTGAGGAAAAAGGGCTCTTCCCAGGTGGAAGGGGGGGGGGGGGGGGAACTTGAGGGGCACCCTCAGTGTAGGAAAGGGGGAGCAGGGCCCTTTTATTCCCCACCGCTTGTCAGGACTTGTACCAAATTTAAAAGAAACCTTAACCCATTAAGAAGTTTACTTTTCAATGTAAGTCAATAGGAGCCAGAGCAAATAGGAGCTAAACTTTGCCCATGAGCACTTCCCCATTGGACTTTATTGAGCGAGCAGATCAGCATTGTCCATCTGTATATAGTTATGGAAAAAAAACTCCTTTGAATCAAGCTGATTCATTTCAAACCAGACTCACACGTTTCATTCTGACTGAGCAGGTTTCAGAGCCAGACCATAAACCAGGAAACTCTGTGGGGGTGGTTTTGTTGCTGTACGTGACTCATTCAAGAAATGATTTGCAGGTTTTGCACTGAAGAATAAATATAAGAATGAGAGAATACATATATTTTAGACTTTTATTCCACTCATTTACTAGTTCCATCTGGTCACTACTATTTTTACAGTGTATGTAAAATATCTTCCATCTGTCCCTCACATCAGCAGGGGGCGCTGTGCCTCTGCAGCAGCTGAGGCGCTCACGGTCGCAGCGCTCGTCACAGGAGTGGGCGGAGCTGAGGGCCAGGCTGCCGTCTGATTGGGCCACGGAGCCACAGGACCCGCCCACTGAGGAGCCACCATGCCCGGCGGAGCCCAGCCGGGGGGCGGGTACAGGGCGGGTGGAGTGAACATGGACAGAATCTGAGAGTTGGACAGGGCGGGTCTGGGCGGCTCCGGATCTGAGGAACACAGACTCAGGTGAGACCGGATGTGTTTGTGCGACAATAAACTGGTCCCTGGTTTGTCGCAGGGGTCACATGTTCTAAAAGTAACCCGCAATAAGTGAAAGACTAGTAGAATATGTATGTTTCAAGGCTGTAAAACCTTCAAAACACGTTATACACTTTTCTAAACACCTGAACTCATGACTGCTGAAGAGAGAGACCAGAGAGAGACCAGAGAGAGACCAGAGAGAGACCAGAGAGAGACCAGAGAGAGAGACCAGAGAGAGACACCAGAGAGAGACACCAGAGAGAGACACCAGAGAAATAAAAGGGAGAGCCTAGATAGAAAGACTAGGAGAGACCAGAGGTAGACTAGATACGAGAGATCAGAAAAAGAGAGAATCCTCAGAACTGATCACAGCAGTGTAAAAAAACACACAATTTCACACACCTCAAACCATGATACAGTATAAATGGCCAGTACATTCAGAAGAGATATGAATAAAGGAAAGAATTATACACAAAAGGTTTGAGACGGAACGTTCATGTTTGTTTTTTGTCCATGACTAAACAAAGCCAACCTGGTTCAGAGAGGGCCACAGCGGAGGGACACACACTCGGCTCGATGGGATCTCCGAGAGGAACCGCGAAGACTTCCATCAACTCAGAGGAGGCCTACGGAGAAGAGCACACAGGTTCTGTCGGCTTTAAAGTCATCCTCAAACACTCATGAATCAGCCTAAAAACATCTGCGTGAAGGACCAGAGGAAACTAATCTGCACACATGGACCACAGCTGATTTTTACTGTGAGGTTTTTTATTTTAATACATTTATCACATTTCAACGAGTGAAGCAGGAAATGTGGATCTGATCAAAGAACTTTAAAGCTGGGGTCTGTAACTTTAAAGCTGGGGTTTGTAACTTTAAAGCTGGGGTCTAACTTTAAAGCTGGGGTCTGTAACTTTAAAGCTGGGGTTTGTAACTTTAAAGCTGGGGTCTGTAACTTTAAAGCTGCGGTATGTAATTTTAAAGCTGGGTTCTGTAACTTTAAAGCTGGGCTCTGTAACTTTAAAGCTGGGTTCTGTAAATTTAAAGATGAGGTATGTAATTTTAAAGCTGGGTTCTGTAACTTTAAAGCTGGGCTCTGTAACTTTAAAGCTGGGTTCTGTACATTTGAAGCTGAGGTTTGTAACTTTAAAGCTGGGTTCTGTAACTTTAAAGCTGGGGTTGGTAACTTCAAAGCTGAGGTTTGTAACTTTAAAGCTGGGTTACATAACTTTAAAGCTGGGGTCGGTAACTTCAAAGCTGAGGTTTGTAACTTTAAAGCTGGGTTACATAACTTTAAAGCTGGGGTCTGTAACGTTAAAGACATGTCTCTAGTTCTGGCTAAAACAGTCAAAGAGAGGACCACCCAAAAAGGCAGATCGTGACTCCCAGGGACACAGATGATATAGCTTTAAACATGTGTTATTTATGAGACTAAAGTTACAGACCTTAGCTTTAAAGGACACTAACATAGCTCTGTGTGTGACAGAACTGATTTAGATGTTTTTGATGTACCGGTTTTCCATCAGGTCGAGGGCTGAAGACGTTCTCCAGAGCTGGCTCCTGAAAGAACAGAATATTAAATTGAAAATGAAAGATGAGAAGATCGTCCGTGGACTAACTGCACTCACCTCATGTGTTCGTGTGGAGGCCTCGTCCACGACCAACAAGGCAGAGATCTGAAAGACAAGGTGAGTGTTAAGTGTCACACGGACAGATTTTTAAATAGTCAACAGTTATTCCAAACCTAAAACACACCGAAAAACAAACACGTCACAAACGAGCCCATTTCAGTCACATTCTGAGTCTATGGGGCGGCCGTACTTTAGCCCCACCTACATCTACTAAAACCAGCAACCGCACTGGGTCTTTCTGGAACCGGTTTCCCTGCCCTACGTGCTTCCGGTATTCCCCTGAAAAGTTTACTTAGGTATGAGTAATATGGTCTAAAACTGTCCACTCAGCATTTTCTATTTCAGTGCCACAAGTGAAACCAAAAAGCTCTTAAGACACGTTTCCACCGCAGGAACTTCGGGGTAATTTTCCAGGGCCAGCCCCGTCTGTGCGTGTCTACACTGCAGGAACTTTCCCCACAGGGCCATTCACAGGAACATTTACGGGGCCCAACGGAGTCCCTCCTCCATGCTAGGTACTTCGCTGGGCCGTGAACTGATTGGCTAAAGCTAGCGCAGGCTCTGATGCCAGCAGAAAGCACCAAAACAACCGGCATTTTAAAAATTCAGCAGCATTAGCCCAGCAGCATTAGCCCAGCAGCATTAGCCCAGCAGCATTAGCCCAGCAGCATTAGCCCAGCAGCATTAGCCTAGCAGACACCATTGATTCCAACGGGGTTTGAGGCATCGCACCAATATGAAAAGACTTATTAAGACATATCAGCTTCACGTCAAAGCAATGGAGATTCATTACACTCCAAAACAATTGCAGTGAAAAGTAAAAAAACCTGAAGCAGAACTATAAAAACCTCAAAGACAACAACAACCAGAGCAGTTCCTGTAGATGTCCCACCACAGGAGTTCACCAGGAACTCCTGCGGTGGAAACGCGACAATTGGTCTCGAATAGGGTTTTATCACCAGAGTCTTCTCTGGGCCCAATTTATATTTTAAAGTGTGTTTGGAGAGTCTCTGTGTGTGTAGAGTGTGAGAGAGACCTGCGGGGCCTCAGTGGGGGGGTCCGGGACTGAACCCTGGTTCTGCTGCTGGTCTCTGCACACCTCCCTGATGTCGTTCAGAACCGGTTCAGCCTGAAAACACAGATGTTCCTTAAATCATCCCAAAGGCCTCACATTACACCTGTGTTTCAGACCTCACATTACACCTGTGTCACAGACCTCACATTACACCTGTGTCACAGACCTCACATTACACCTGTGTTTCAGACCTCACATTACACCTGTGTTTCAGACCTCACATTACACCTGTGTTACAGACCTCACATTACACCTGTGTTACAGACCTCACATTACACCTGTGTTTCAGACCTCACATTACACCTGTGTTTCAGACCTCACATTACACCTGTGTTACAGACCTCACAATACACCTGTGTTACAGACCTCACATTACACCTGTGTCACAGACCTCACATTACACCTGTGTCTCAGACCTCACATTACACCTGTGTTTCAGACCTCACAATACACCTGTGTTTCAGTCCTCACATTACACCTGTGTTACTGACCTCGCATTACACCTGTGTTACAGACCTCACATTACACCTGTGTTACAGACATCACATTACACCCTGTGTTTCAGACCTCACATTACACCTGTGTTTCAGACCTCACATTACACCTGTGTTACAGACCTCACATTACACCTGTGTTACAGACCTCACATTACACCTGTGTTACAGACCTCACATTACACCTGTGTTACAGACCTCACATTACACCTGTGTTACAGACCTCACATTACACCTGTGTTACAGACCTCACAATACACCTGTGTTTCAGACCTCACATTACACCTGTGTTTCAGACCTCACATTACACCTGTGTTTCAGACCTCACATTACACCTGTGTTACAGACCTCACATTACACCTGTGTTTCAGACCTCACATTACACCTGTGTTCAAAGTTCTGGATTAACGATAAAAACCACTTTTACCTAAATATAAAACCCTTAAAGACCTTAAAACTGTTAAATGTTATTGTGGTTATTTCCTTGGGCTGCAGTTGTTTCTGAAATGTGCTATATGAATAAATTCCGCACCAGGTTAGCCATGCGCAGGTAGAACAGGTAGAAGTTGTCTGTGTGTTTGTGGACGTAGGCCAGCGCTCTGGGGTCCGAGTCGTCGCGGGTCAATGCACTGATGTCGTGCTGCTCGTGGACGTACATCTCAGCCTGAAACCAAATAACATTTTTTGTTCTAGTATAATTGTAATTTAGTCTTTCTGAAAATGAATAAATGAGGCTCAACAATTCAAATATGTTTTGGTGAAAGGACTGAGCTGGCCAGAAAAAAGTGTGGATAGCACTCTCGCCTCTCAGCAAGAAGGTCCTGGGTTTGAATCCCGGCCGGACCAGGGCCTTTCTGAGTGGAGTTTGCATGTTCTCCCCGTGTCTGCATAGGTTTCCTCCGGGTACTCCGGTTTCCCCTACCACTAAAAATATGTACAATAGGTCTGGCATGCGCCTCCTGTTCGGCGACCCCGCTCCCATCTCTGTGGAGTGGGAGACAAGTGCCCAAAAAATAACAATTGTAAACCGCTTTGAGACTCTGATCTGTGAAAGGCGGTATATAAATAAAGCTTACTTACTACTTACTTACTACATCTAGACGAGAGAGATGCTCCCTCTGGTGGTAGCATAGAGAGCTACAGGGGAAAGCAATTTCTACCCTTCAATCTTATTTCACCGTATATTTTCTACTGCAGACAGTATTTCACGTTGTAAATAGTCTTTTTTAAATACCAAAAATAATGCAAATTTGTTTTGTTTTTTTAACTAAAACATTTCAAAAAGCTGCTGTACAAACTTTACACAAGGCTAAATAAGAGTAAGTATTTTTTGCAAGACTAAAAAAAGGATAATTCAACCGAAATTAAGTATTTGTTATCGTGGGTGGCCTTCCCAGGGACCGGGGGTAAATCCGGAAGGGAGGTTTGTGACACACGATGATGTATGTGCATTTCTCTTTCAGTGAACTTTCTCAGTAAGTTCTCAGTAAAGGAGTTCAGATAGGGTCCAGTCAGACGGGCCGTGGTCCAGACTCCAGTCCCACCGGAGCACTTAGAACCACAAGACCACTGAGCTCCAGACCTGGGAAAAAGACTGAAATAAGATCAGAGAGAGACCAGAGATAGACCACATAGAGAGACCAGAGAGAGACCAGACAGAGAGACCAGAGAGAGAGACCAGAGAGAGAGACCAGAGAGAGAGACCAGAGAGAGACCAGAGAGAGACCAGAGAGAGACCAGAGAGAGACCAGAGAGAGACCAGAGAGAGACCAGAGAGAGAGAGACCAGAGAGACCGACCACTTAGAAAGAGAGACCAGAGAGAGAGACCACTTAGAGAGACCAGAGAGAGAGACCACAGAGAGAGACCAGAGAGAAACAAAAAAAACCACACAGAGACTAGAGGGAGTGACTAGACAGAGACCAGTGAGCGACTCAGAAACCAGGTAAAAACAATTTGGAGAGGGCTCTTTCTTACACAAAAAATACAACATATTTTACACTTCGAATACTCCATGTTGTTAACAAGCAAATAGTCTCTGTTGGGACAAAGAACTTGTATTATCTGTGTGTAAAGTTAGGTACCTTAACTTTCAATGATTAATGCATAAATGTGTTCTCACCGCCGTCTTCTCGTCCAGGATCCTGAGTCCTCCGGAGAAGATTTTCAGCCACACGCGCTGCTTGTGTCGGCCCTGTTTACGAAAGGCCGCCTCGAAACCCTAAAACCATCACCAAAGGTTCATAGTAATGTTTAAGACGAGAGCAAGTCCCGGATCTACAGCCTCAGTCCCGGAACTGGAGCCTCAGTCCTGGGTCGGTCCTAGATCTACAGCCTCAGTCCTGGGTCTACAGCCTCAGTCCTGGATCTACAGCCTCAGTCCTGGGTCTACAGCCTCAGTCCTGGGATGTGTGTAAATGACAGTAGTTGTAGAACATGGACAGAGGTTGAGAAAAGTCCATGTTGCATCGTGTCCCGTTCCTTCACCTTGAGTTTCATCATGGAGTCAACGCAGGACTTTCCGGCGTCGCCGCTGGTCACATGATCAATGCCGATCAGCTTGGCCTTGTAGCGGACACCGTCTCCCTGGAAACGGGAGCCAGGACCAGGGGCTGATGAGAACAAAACAGACCAGTGATGATTGGCCACGGGAACTCCCCCCAAAGCAAACGGCAGTAAAACCACATATGAGTCACTTTATGACTCTTTGGGCATTAGCTTTTGGAATGCTTCAACTGTTCAAGTTTCCATACCTTTAAAGAATAAATATTATCCATGTTTTTGTCAAATACAATTATAATGAGGATGACTAGGATGATTTTCAACCACAAGTCTGTGTGTGCAGCTCCCCCTGGTGGCAGCATCAGGAGTTACAGGCCGAAAGCATTTTTTTTACCCTTACTTCTAGATTCTTTCACTTTGTAAAAACCGAACCAACAAAGGAAACTCTTCCATTGTCATTTTTAATAGACAAAAATACTGCACGATTTTGTAATTTTAAAAACGAAATTTACCAAAAAGTAATGGATTATCTGTAAATATTCACGCAAATTGTTCACATTGTTTTTAAATTGAATTATCAGATCTCAAAGTCACACTTCCTACACTCATAGATCCGCTTATAACCGGTTTGAGTCTCACCTGCGGAGGTCGTGGAGGCAGGAGCCGGAGTCGAGTCCATTTTAAAAAGTGAAGAAATTGAATCCGATTATTTTGAGTCAAATTGTAAAGTGAAGAGCCGAGGAGAGTGCGCTCAGCTGCTGCTCACGGGACTCGAGGCAAAGGTCACAATCTGTAAAACTGCCACTCTCTGACATCACTATATATCCTGTCGCCTGTCATTAAAGCTGGGGAACCTAACTTTCTGTTTCATAGATGACATATGTAGTTGGTCCAGCAGAAAGAGTAACATGTTATGAACAAATCAGAACACGACATCATAAAACTATTTTGAGTAAGAAAGAAAGTGAGAGAGTGAAGGTAGTTCTGTTTTTCACTTTTCTATCAGCAGTTTTAGAGGCAGAACTATATGTGTAAAGATGCACAATTGCTAACATAGACTGTATAGATGGGACTGTATGTAAGAGATAATGTATGGGATAATATATGGGCGAAGCGGACCCCGACGCACAGTGGAGGGGTCTGCTTCTTATTATTCGATAATGACCTGCGTACTTTACATTATCCCGCTTATTATACGGCTTTGTATCAACAGAACAGACAAAATAAACTTCAGTCCACTCTTAGTGTGCCGAAAGGTTTATTTAATGACAGAAAATAAAATGGTTCCTGAAGGTTTCCCCGTGGCTTTACGAGTAATAGGCTGGTAACAGTTAGACTAATAACAGCTAGGCTAGTAACAATTAGGCTAATAACGGGTGCGTACCGATGTTCCCCGGGTCCGATGTTCCCCGGGTCCGATGTTCCCCCACTTCTATAGGCGGGGGAACATCGGACCCGGGGAACATCGGTACTTCGCGTATTAAAAAGTCCCGATGTTCCCCGGGTCCGATGTTCCCCCGCCAACAGAAGTGGGGGAACATCGGGACTTCAACAACGAGACTAGTCCCGCTGTTCCCCGCGTGCGCCCTTTGATGTTTGATGTTTTCTCCTCCACGAAAGATGGCATATGATCCGCGCCAACTTTTGTGAGAGAAAAAATACTAACTAGCCTAAGCCTATTTACTTTTCTTTTTCCCTCTCGCTCTTTGTGTGCTCATATTTCAGCTGATCGCAGCTTGAGTCTATGCAGGATATTTTTGGGCATGTTATGGGCATGTTATCTCCCCTTGCTCACTCTCCCATGGGCATCTATATTTGACAAGTCTGACTGAATAAAATGAGGACGATTGAAACTAGAGCTACTACATCTGTTAGCCTATAGTTTTTCCAAATACGTGGTTTTGCTGAGGGCACTGTGCTTTTACGCATAATGGACACGCATATGACGTCGTTTTTGTTGTAAAACTTGAATATGCTCTTTTAGTTCTAGAGATATTAATACATATTATTCTATTCAGAATGCGTGCGTCATTGTGCATTGTTGTCCCGCCTTACGTGTCACTCACAGTTAAAATGTAAATAACCAATTCAAACATAGCATTTTTACAACTTGAACTTTAAGAAAAAAATGATCAAAGGAATCAGTGTAAAATAAGATCGGAAAAGCTCAATTCATGATTGTTTAATTAGGTTTCCCATTTTTAAATACAATTGGAAACGCTCAGAATTCAAAAATATTGAAAAGTGTATTGGCTCCTACAGGGGGGGAATAATAATAATAATTATAATAATAATATAACCCCCTGAGCGTCATCACGTTCCTACGTTGCTTCAAATATAGTCCTGTTTATTGGCTGAACAATTTTGTCCAATATCATATCACACAGCGTGAAGCGAGAACAACCAGCTATTCCTCGTCTTAAAGATTGACAACGCTCTCAAAGCATTCACAACAGAGCAGCCTTTTTCATTTTAATTTTAAGAAAGTTCAGCGTGAACTTTGTGAGGTTGAGGAGCCAGAGGCCCGGGCCCGTAGGTCCCAGAGGAGGAGAGCGCGGTCAGGCCTGGCTCGCCTTGCACTGATGAGGTAAACTCTAGGCCTGTGTGAGACACACTGTGGGCCTCACTGTAGGCCTCACTGTGGGCCTCACTTTGGGCCTCACTGTGGGCCTCATGTATGAAACCTGCGTACGGCCAAATCAGGGTAAATGAGGTGTACGCAAAATATTACACTTTTCTGCATTTATCAATCTGGACGTGAGCGTACAATACGCAAAAAATAAACGCCAGGTCTGGAGGTGGTGTAAATCTATACGCTGAACTCAACCTTCGGCACAACACGCATGAAATTCAAGATATGTACAACAATAAACATATTCCCTCTGGCAAAATTATATGCTGTGTTTTCATTGAGGATCATGTTTCAAAATTTGAATTTGCGCATCAGAAAAAGTCTAATGGAAACACGCAAACTTCGAATAAATCACAGCTCATGAGGACCCTCTATTAAATCTGACTTGTGTGTGTATTATTTTGATCTGTATGTTTTTAAAATGTGAAGCGCTTTGTGATCCTGGACAGTGAAAAGGCTCTATATAAATACACTTTACGCAACAGGGATGTGTGACCCATCTATTGCTGTGGCAGGCTCTGCGCTGCGTAATTACGCACGGCTATTTGTATTCCTCATTCACATCTGGTAAAGCAATGTGTTATTTCATTAGATTTGTGTAAGCCTCACACAGACACACACCCCAATAACACATCGATGGTATTGCTCACTCAAACGTCTCACTGCCCTGTCCAGAGTGCGCAGCGAGTGCCGTGAGAGGTCGCGCCACATGTGCAGAAGTTTTGGCTCCAGAGTTTCTTTGTGAAATCTGGACCGCAAACGCTCTCTGAAGTGTACAGCGCCTCAATGCGCACTTCTACCCCGAGCCAGGCTGCGTCCAAGACGCTGCAGACGCTTCATTCATGAGAGCCACCGCTGCATAATAAATATGAATTAATTCATTCATTCAATCAATCTAGATTTATTCACTTCTACAATTCAATAAGGATTTTTCTAATGTATCAAAACATTTTGGCAAATTGCGTAAATGGAATATACACCCAAAATGTACACCTTTTTCAACGCAAGTTTCATAAATGAGCTTGTGTGTATGTGCGCGCGTGAGTGCGTGTGTGCGCGTGCGTGCGTTTGAACCATATTCTTTGAAACCCCAATTCCAGTTAGCCCTTGTAGTTTGCAAGCGAATTTGGCCTACTTACTAATCTGCAGGCCTACCCAAAATAGACTAGTTATGAGCGAAAGCCGCTTGTTGCTCCATTATGTTATTATCCAATAACATGTCTATGAGCGAGGCCCGCAGTCGGGGAACACCGGGCCCTCCGGCGTTTGGAAGGTCCGATGTTCCCCGGGTCCGGTGTTCCCCGGGTCCGGTGTTCCCCGCCCCGGGGAACTCCGGACCCGGGGAACATCGGACCCGGGGAACATCGGGCGACCCCCTAATAACAGTTAGGCTAATAAAAGTTAGGCTAGTAACAGTTAGGCTAGCAACAGCTTGGCTAATAACAGTTAGGCTAATAACAGTTAGGCTAATAACAGTTAGGCTAATAACAGTTAGGCTAATAACAGTTAGGCTAGTAACAGTTAGGCTAATAACAGTTAGGCTAATAACAGTTAGGCTAGTAACAGTTAGGCTAGTAACAGTTAGGCTAGCAACAGCTTGGCTAACAACATTTAGGCTAATAACAGTTAGGCTAGTAACAGTTAGGCTAATAACAGTTAGGCTAATAACAGTTAGGCTAATAACAGTTAGGCTAATAACAGTTAGGCTAATAACTGTACTATTATGTCTGACCATAGATACAAGCTTAAGTAAGACGGGAGGCACTTGTAGCGTTTAGACTCTTGCTTTATTCCATACATCCGGGAGTGTCCTTCCTTAATATGTGTCCCACCAGGTATCTACCATACACATTGGTTCCTATGTACACACCCACAGTACATCTCCCCCTTTTAGCTTAGTGTCCATATTTTCTTTGTCTTAACATAGCATCTTACTCTTAAACAGTTTCAGCTTCTGAATTACTTATTAATAAACATATTGAACAGTCGTACTGTAATCAACTTTTTAAGTGCATTTACAACAGCATTCTTCTTCCTTCTCTTTTTATTTTTTTTTTGTTTTTTTTTTTTTAGAACATTCTTTTGTTAATAATACAGTGTAACCATCTGTACTCAACCTTTTAACAAACATTGACACTGAAATCGTCTAGGGGTCAGGAAAGACAACCTGGGTCCCCAAGCTGTGCAGGGATTATTCTGCCCTGTAGGTCACAGCTTCCTACTATAGGAGTGGTGATCATATGTTGAGTCTCTGCGGGGTGTGAACAACCCGCCCCGACCTGGTGACTGTGGTGCCCTCAGGAATCACTGTGATGTGAGATCTGTTTCTCCTGAGACGTCCCGTCGGCAGGTCGATGTTGTAGGACCGTGGGGTGTTGGCTGGGCTGCTGATAATCCCCGAGCTGTTGGTGTTTTTCACCCAGACCCTCTGTCCTGGTCTGAGCTCTAGTTTCATTTGAGTTTTGTGTCTCTTGTTGAACCAGGAAGCTTGTTTTTGTTTCAGGTCCTGGTCTTTTCTTCGGAACAATACAAGGTTTGGCCATCTTGGTTGAAGTTTCTCCTCACTGACTGGTAAGGGCGTCCTGATGTTACGACCCATCAGCAACTGTGCAGGTGAGGAGCCGTGTGCCAAGGGTGTGGCTCTGTATGCCATGAGAGCTTTGTGTGGATCCTCCCTCTTATTCAGGAGAGTCTTCACCGTTCTCACAGCCCTCTCTGCTTCCCCGTTACTTTGAGGATAGTGAGGGCTCGAAGTTACATGTTTGAAATCATAGTCCCTTGCGAAGGCTGCAAACTCAGCTGCTGAAAACTGGGGGCCATTATCTGTGACGAGGATTTCTGGGACCCCATACCTGGCAAAAATGGCCTTCAACTTGTTGATCACTGGAACGGCAGTAGTAGAGGTAAGGTTTGCAACTTCAATATACCGGGAAAAGTAATCCACCACCACCAGGTAAATGGCACGATTCCACTGGAAGAGATCTGCTGCAACACGCTGCCATGGCCTAGTAGGAAGTTGTGTCGTCATGAGAGGCTCCGGTGTATTG